ACAAAGCCGAGTAGAAAATATATATTCGCTAGACGCACGTTAAAAAACTCGTTTTTTTTATTCATTCCGTTTTTTTTATTTTTATTCTCGATCCAAAATAATGAAATGAGTTTTCTTCTTGAAAGATTTTCGAAATTACGTTTTATAATTGCGAAAAAGAAACGCGGCGGTAGCGGTGTATTTCTTATTTAGTTTTTTTCGTTAACATTTCCCGTACGTTCTTGTTTATTACTTTAGGTTCAATATATTTTAATCATCAATGCAGTTAAAAGAAGCTTTTCAAGAGGCTACGAATACACAAACGATAGAATAAGTTTGGCGAATAAAAAAAAATTAAGGGGGAAATGGCGAAAAATAGCAGCAAAAAAATTCCGCATTACAATAATGAAAGGTACGCTTGTTTTTAGACGCGCAGCTTAAAGTAATTTCTTTTTAGAAAATTCTCCTGAAAATTGGTATACATAATGAATATATTTCGCCATAATTCTGTTTGAAGTATTCTTAATAAACCTGAAAAATGTTTTTCGAATTAAACTTAATTCTGGTTCTTATGCATAACCAATCATTTATCAAAACTCCAGATTGCAACGAGGTTTGTTTTAAATTTGTTTCTGAACGCATAAGCTCAATTGTCTTTTATTTTTCATTTTGAAGTTTATATCTTAAACTGGCGTATAGTTAATCATGTGGTTTACAAGAAACGAGAACAATCAATGTTTTTAAAAAGATATATAATGAACACAATTGCATTTTGAAGAATAAAAGGCTTTACTGGAAATTCTTGATAACAAAGCACATTAATTTTTAAAAGCCACCCAAGCATAATGTATTTAAATTATGTACTCCATGTGCTTTATAAATGCTTTTCAACATTTTTTATTCTTAGACTTTTATTTAAAAGCTAATTTCAAGTTTTAAGTATTTTATATTGTAAAAGATTACTTAAAAATGATAGTTTAGAAATTTAATTTTTAAATACTTTACAAATGAATTCATAGTTCTTACTGAAAAATTAACATTGAAATGTCTTTAAAAGTAAACAATAAGAAAAAGGAATAAAATTTTTCAAACACTCAATTATGGGGAGTTTAGATACATAAAAAATAATAGTATGATTTAAAAGAAAAAGATAATATTATGATTTTAAAAAAAATTATGAGGTGATTAAAAAATAAAAATTGTTTTTAAAAATACGATGTACAGTTTTCAATTAAATTTAAGATGGAATTTTTTTAGAGTTTATGACGGATTAAATATAAATTTAATCCATCATAATAGTAATAGTATGATTTAAAAGAAAAAGATAATATTATTATTTAAAAAAAAAATATAAGGTGATTAAGAATTATTTTTGCAAATACGATGTACAATTTTCAGTTATATTTAAGATGGAATTTTTTAAGAGTTTATGACGGGTTAAATATAAATTTAACTAAAAATATTTTTTCCTTTTCCTATTAAAACGTAACAGATCAATATTATCTATATCACATTTTATGAGAAAATTTGAATAGCAAAAGTTACAACTTTTGCTAAATATTTCAAAAAAAATTTTTTTTCATGTATACGTCATTTTCCCTAAAAAAACAAGGAGTGCCTTTATTGCCTATCCAAGACAGGCAGAAAGATCAAAAACAGAGCCAGACTTGTTGACTGGCTCTGTTTTTGATCATTCCATTTACTGTTTATATTTTTTAAATAATTTTTTTGCGGCTTACACTTTTTTAAGAAAATTAATGCAACGTAGTTTCCTAATCGTATTTGAGTTTAAAGTTTTTCAAAAAATTATTTATTTAAAAAAATGTAGATACAGGTTTTTTTTAAGTACAAGTAATTAAGAAAAAGGTTTTAAAAAATATATTCGTAAATATTAAAAGCGTTTCTGGGAATTGATTGAAATTGTGATTGAAATTGTGATTTCTGTATGCATAGCTGTCACATAAAAACTGAACTTTCTGCGGTCAGAGAATAAAAAAAAAGTCCACTATCAATTTAAGTTAATCAATTAATATNGTAAAATTACTGACTACTCTTGTAAATAGCTTATATGACCGATGCAAAATTAGTAGTAAATAATATTTGTGATCAAAAATAAATTTTAGTCACCTATTTAAGAAATTCAGTAACTTTTATATTTATTGATGTTGTAAAAATATTTGCTATCAGGTATCAAAAATATAAAAAAAAGGTTGATTTGAAATTACCTCTAAAACTTAGAAATTAAAAAATGCTACTTTTAATACTATACTTTATGTTTATAACCTTTAATAGTTTGTAACATGATGTTAAATTTAAATTAAATTTTTCCCAACTCTAAAAAGAGCCGTTTATATTAATTGTTAATATAGACTAACATAGCATCATGTAAAAAAGCTACAAGTGCTATATCAAATAAAAACTTTTTGTGGTTTGCAGTTCTGGTATATCCTGGTATATATTCTGGTATATCAGTCAATTCATTGTTTAAATTCAAAGAATATTAAAAAAAAATTATTACTATATTATAAAATTTCACCAAACTTAGAATCCTATAAGCATAGAAATTGCTTTCTGTATTTAAAATATTCATTGCTTTCAAAGACCAGACAGTTGCCATTTTCTAAGCACGATAACATCTATAGTTATAAATAGAACAATGCGTCACTGAGAAAAATATACAGTCAAAATTAGGAGAATAAGGTGAAATTTATTGTGTTTCTGGCTCTACGAAAACACTAAAAAGCATAATTTTAATTGTTACGTTTTGGAAAGGACGTTTTGGTAAATCCTGAGTGCATCTATTTATTTGAATTTATTTATTTATTGTTTCGCGCACTCACACAGGATTGGGTGCTCATTACAAACCTCAGCTAATATGACCTGGTCAAGTCGGAATAAGATAGCACAAGATAGAGAAAGGCATCAGAAACATAGATCCTGAAACACAGTGGATATCGAACCAGTTACCTATATTTCACAATAGATGCATATTATAATAACCTCCTCTGATCTGAGATATCTGTACCTCAACTTGACTAGGGTTAATAAAAAATTATAGTTTGTAATGGCTGCACAAGCCTGCATATGAATGAGCAAAAATAAATAAATACTTGGTAATGTTTGTTTTTCAAAATTATTTCTTTACTGCATTCTCGTCTTTTCACCTAACGCTATTTAAAATGGAGGTAGCTGGTTCGAACCAAAGCGTGACCATGGATGTGTAACAGTAAATAAATAAATGTGGTTTCGATACATATGCAGGAGCATGTGTTTAATGCAAATAATGGCATTTGAGTTCAGTATTTTTGAAACACATTGATTAAATATTTGAAACCATCATTCGTGTCCTTTTACCCCTTGTTATAATTGAGAAAACATTAACAGCCTTAGCATAAAACATTATTAACAGCCATCTAACTCCTATCAACCATTTAAATAAACGTCCATTCTAACTGAACCATAGACGTGAAAATAGATTATTACCATTATAGTTGCAAAAAGGCATAAACATAAAAAAAATTAAAATCATTTGGTAAAATTTATTTTTTCATTTTGTATTTGTTACTAAATGTATGGTAATAAGAACTATAATTTTGAAAACCTGAATTTCCGGTAAACCGGCAATCATGTGATTTTTCTGACCAATAAGAATGCGCAGACATACGAAATTGAAAAATTATTATTTAAATGATTTAAATACCAAATATTTTGGTTTAATTACCAGCATATTCTTATTATACCAGTATGGTAATTTTGACAGAAATTGCTTCTTAATGACAAAGTTTAAGGAACTCAGACTATAATTTTTCAAAAGCAAAAAAGTGTCTTAATAGCCCCACTTAATTTGCTCAATTTGCCAATTACCAGTTAATATAAATTGAGGTGATTGTTGCTTCAAAATCTTATTGTTGTTTTCAATAAAATAAGGAATTTTTACTAATTTTATTGTTTGTATTTTACTGATCAGAGATATTTATGTATTAAAAAGGTGTCAAATAGTTTCAAAAAATAAGGATGCACAGAACCATTATAAGAAAATCCTGCATCTTAATGTAAAATACGTTGAGAAAAATTGAATTTGATCAAAAGAATTGATGGCATGTCTAGTACATCAATGAACTTTGATTGAGTGAGATTAATATTTCTCAATGCATAAACATATACTGGCTATAAAATTAGTCAAAACATTCTTTTCTATAACGAGACAGTAGAACTTAGTGAGAAAAATGAAAAAACAACAATCAGAATGATTCAATGTTTTATAAGGCACCTAGATTGTTGGACAGATAAACCAGTGATGATTTTTTAGGTCTAATAATAAAAGTTTATTAAAATAACTAAAATTTCGTGGAAAAAAATTTCGAAGATTTCTTATGAAGCTGAAAAATGACCCCCAGTCTTTGAATGAAATTCAGTAAAATTCATCGTTATTTATCAAAATAATAGAACAAAAATTTAGTTCTTTGAATTTATAATATATGTGGAATTTCAAATATCTGAAAAAATATTCATTAAAGTAACTAGTGAAACTATGATTTTAATGTATTTTATTATTTACAAAAAATGCAACCTTTTTTCTGTTGCAAATTTTGAGTCGAATACTTCAGTCTTAATAGGCAGTATAAAGTCTAAAAATATTAAAAAGTATGTGGCTAACAAGAGCATGAATAAAAGAAACAAAACATAATGTAACGAGATAAATAAAAAATAAAAGCACGAGATTTTTATGGAACATCAGAGAGTTGTTGATTTCTGCGAAGATAATTTTTGCTTTTGATTTTGAGGTTTATACAAGTCAGTTAAGGGTTTTTCTACTTTTTTTGTTGCAAGGTTATTTACAACGGGTACTTTAATTTTGTTACTTTATGTGTGGTTGTTGAATAAATGTGTTTTTTATTAAAAAAAAATAATTAGAAAAAACTGCTTCTTAATATAGCTTGATTCGTTATCGAAGTGAAACCTAACAATTCTGCATCACCAACATTTTCACCTAAATATTTTATAAGATAAAAAATATTCACCTTTTAAAGATAGTTTTAATTCTTATATTTTCCCTTTCTTACATCCTTATTTCTTATTTGAGCTTCCATTAAATCACATGATTCTGGCCCCTAGAAAATGAAAAATAAAATATCATAAAGGAAAAAAAGTTTTACAAAAGATTGCAAATAAATTTTCTAAATGTTTAATTCGAATTTAAAGCTTTAAATTTCTTTAATAAAATTTAAAATACGCTTAAAGATTCATATTAAAATTAAGTAAAATTACTGACTACTCTTGTAAATAGCTTATATGACCAATATATATTTTATAGTGTACAGTTTAATTTAGGAACGATGATTTGTATTTGAAAGTAGTGTTCTTACGCACTCATAACACTTATTGGTAAAGAAGTTGTATGTTATTAAAAATTAATAGTGAAAATATAAAAATTTCACAGTTTGAAAATTGTTTTATGATAGATTTGCCAGTATTTGAATGAAAATAATGTCTGGAAACAGTTTAAGAAAAAAGAATAATCTTATAAAATATTTTTCAACACTTTTAATTTATATAAGGACCAATATGATACAGACAAACATAAATGTGACAATTATCTTGAGAACATGAAAAATAAAATTTTTTACTGTAAATATAATCATTTCTAATCATCCGTTTACTGTAAATATAATCATTATAATTTGATGACATTTCTGAAATCTTCAAAACTAATTTTCACCCTAAGAACATTAAAAAAATTAGCGCTTCAAAATTAGACAGCATTAGAAGGTCAAATTTCATGAATGTTTAGTCTGTCAAATTAAGAGAATGTAAATACAAAAATTAAAAGAATTATGAATCTAGAACTAGACAATTAGAAAATAATTTTATTGTATTGTTAATAAGGACCAAATGTACTAATATAGGTACAATTAGTACATTTATTACTTATTTGAGCTTTACCAATACTGTGCAGTTTCAATACAAATAATGTGGAAATTATTTTTCATGATCCCTCGAAAAGGATGCACAATGGGGTAAATTGCTTCCTATCATGAGTTGACCACGAGCAATAACATCTTACCAAGTGATATGAAATGTAGTTAATAAATGTTACACTGGAAAAACTGCTAAAAACGTGATTTTTTTAATGTCATAACGTAAAGTCATCTCCAATTAAAAAATTATAATGCATTGAAAATATATGTCTTTCAGTTTTGTGTCTGATTTCGTAGTGTTGTTCAGTTTTGCTTTATTGATTGCTTACTTTTTTCTTCTGTACGACAAATTGGTATTCAGGTCATAAATTACGAAATAAGAAGTCGATATTTTTAATCATAAAACATTTTATTATTCATATAGTTTCAAATCAAATTCAAATTAATTTCAAAGTAAAAATACAGTTTACGACCAATAAAGTTATTATGCATTAATTACATTTAAAATATACTAGCTGAATACCCTTTTTTTTGTACGGGGTGGAAATAATAAACTATAAATAAATTATTTTTGAACAACACTACGAAATCAGGCGCAAAATAGAAAGACATTCACCAACAAAACTAATAAAGCTAAAATAGTTCTAATTTTTTTCTTCATTTATTCTACTTTTTTCCCTTTCCAATGTCTTTAAATTATGAGATTAATTTATGAGATTAAATTAGTTCCTCCCATCAAAATAACGATTAACTGTATTCAGTATCTTTTCGAATGATGTTAAGTTAAAAGTTTGAACTGATGTTAAGTTAAAAGTTTGGTAACTTTCAATTTAACATCTTTCCAAACTTAACATCATTTTACCTTTAACATAACATCACGATGTCATGTTAAAAGTAACTTTTAACTTAACATCATTTAACTTTTAATATAACATCACAATGTCATGTTAAAAGTGCAGTGCCATGTTAAAACATCATTCCAAACTTAACATCATTTAACTTATAACATAACATCACGATATCATGCTAAAAATAACTTTTAACTTAACATCATTCCAAACTTAACATCATTTAAATTTTAACATAACATCACGATGTCATGTTAAAAGTTAACAATATATGGTTTTATAATAACTGATAAGATTTGTTAAATGTGGTAAAATTATCATGTTAATTTAGAGCAAGGTATAAAAACCATTCACTCGGTAAATACTCTTCAGTTTTGTATTTTATTTTTTTACCAAATGTTTGATAATAATAACCATAATTGCGAAATCCGGAATTTCCGGTAAACAGTTAAAATATGATTGGAAAAATTATCAAATTAATGGTTTAAATACCGTATATTTTGGTTTCATTAACCAGAATTATGTTTTTTTTAAATAAATGACATTAATATGCAGTATTATTATTTTACCATAATTTTTTTCCTCGGGTGTAAAGATGAAATAATGATTCAAAAACGTATATTAAACATTTTTTATCAACAAATGTTTTAATCAAACACGCTTTCAAAATAAATATTCGAAAGAAAAATATATTTATTTATTTTTATGTTTTCTTGCTAACTTTCATGGGAAAAAAATTAAACTGGCTTTGCTCTTATTTATGATGCACAGAGCACAAAATAAAAACAATAACTATTGGTCTAATGATCGAATTTTCCCTTACCAAGATGTTATCTTACTTGTCTCAAAAACTTACGTGAAAGAAATTTCACATTACATTTATATTGAAATTTTTCGCGAGGTATTTTTATTGAGCAGATGATATTTTAAGTTACAAAATCAAACACAATGTACTTTCTCTGAATAAATATTCTTTTCTTTCACCGGTTTAATTCTTGATCCTTAAAATATGGAGGTAATCGCAATCTGGAAAATATGCTCTTAGCATATTAGTCAGAAGAAAGGTTGAAAGTTTGAACCATTTTGTTTTAATTTCCATTTTTTTGCATTTTGTGATATTTCTAAAATTATTTAATTGAATACATTTTTTTTGCATGTAATTATAAAATTCGCTTATCGAAAATATTTTCATTTAAGAAGTAACCCTCTTATTTCTTACTCATTATTTACTTATTTTTATTGTTTAATTTAATAAGGGTCAAACAATTTTCAACTTTATACAAATTTCGATTTCACTTTTAGCTACTAATTTTTATTTACAAAATGCAAGCTTTGAACACCTAGAACAGAATCAATCAAAAAACTTTTGAGTGTTGAAATACCAACATAGTATTGTTTTTAAATATTTATCTCAAAATTCCTTTGGTGAATATTTTGATTCAAATTCAATCCTAATTGAAAAATGAAAAAAAGAATCAGCTGAAAAGTTCCTGAGTAACTAAAATTTAAAAAGTTATTTTTCAAACTTTCATTTAAAATCACATAAATTAAAATAATTTAAAGAATTGTCTATGATTCACTTTTTTTTATTTACTTTACTTTTATTTACCATAAGCAAAAACACATATGCTAAAAGAGAAATTTAAATTTTGTTAGTTGTGTAAAACTTTCGACCCCCCCTCATGGCTAAACCTGGAAATCTCCATATTTTGAGTTACATTGTTACAAATTTCTGATGAAATCACTGTAAGAGGTAGTGGCACCCAAGTCTTGATACTTTTTACAGCGAAATCCATTTTTACCGGAACATGTTATGGAACAAAAAATATGATTTACTGTATTTTTTACAGTAATAATTATCGCAAAATCACTGAATCACTTTAATTAAATTAATATTGCTGTAAAAATTACTGCTTTATATTTTGCGGTAAAAATGGATTTAAGGTAAAATGGATTTAACGAATGATGCACCCAAAGAATGATACCCCACGACCAATCGTTATTTTTTTCAGTGTAGGATTCCACGCACATTTTTGGATCAAAAATTCAAGTCTCTCTCGCAAAAAAAGCGTATTTATTCAAAATATGTAATTTTTGTGTCTGATTTTAAAATTTTAGATATCGTCTCCCCAAGTTAAAATTCAGAACTGGAAGTTCCTTTAGTTAGTGAAAGTTTTACTCCCGTTTTTTTATGAGTCACACCAAGTGTTGTGTTTTTTTTTCTTACCTCACCACTTTGGATTAGAATTTTCATGGATATATTTTGGTTGTGAGAAATTTTGATAAAGTGCCTGTATTTAACGATTGAATTTTCTTGAAGTGCAATTTTGTTCTAAATGCAAAATAAAAATATTTCATTGCTAAACTACAGTCAGTGATAGTTAAAAAGTTTTTCAGTTACTGACCGTAAAAATACTAAAATCTTACACGACCATAAAAGTACAGGTCTGCCAGTGAATGTTTTATCGTAAAATATATAGGTACTGGTTATTTATATTATACCGTAATTTTATTTACATATAGTTTAAATTTTATTTATTTACATTAACGTTATAATTTATAGAAATTTAATAGTAAAATAATATGTAAAATATAATATAAATAATAAAATTTATATTTTATGTATTTATATTTATTTATTTTATTGTAAAAATTACTGTATACCAGATGTTTTGTTTAGCAACATTTTCCAATAAAGGGGAAAAGTACTGGCAACCTGAGTGCCGGTGCTTTTTATTGCAATTTGATCCGGAATTTTTTCCATTGTTGTTAGAGACTTAGGCAATATGTTTGTCGATTCAAGGTGAATCGACAAACTTCTGTGCTGCCATCTGTCAAGAAGTGAGAGAGTTGTGTGCTTGTTATCTATGGTCATCAATGTAGGTACAGAGGGAGAGAGATACATTTTGGCACCGACTGGGATCGAACCAGGAACCTTTGTGTTCGTGGGTGCAAAATGATTCAAAAAGGAAGTTCATCTCCTAATTAAATTAGGAATATTTTTATCATAACCGTATAGATAAACGGTCAACTTTATTAATTAAGGTGAGTTTCGTTACAACTACGGGAAATGGCTACGGGCAGCCCACTCTCTGAATTTTAGGAAAATTTCTTAGAGTGTGGATCTTTAAGAATAAATTCACATAATTACTTTTTTAATTCAAGTCAAAAACGACGTTAGTTTTTTTTTCGAATTCCTTTTTAGGCATTGGAAAATTTAAAAAAAATGACATATAAATAATAAAACTGGCTTTAAAAAAGTAATGAATGATGGTATCATAACTTTATTTTTCCTTAAATGATTCTAAGACTGATATAATACAACAGAGAAATTAAGCTAACACC